TTTTCCTGATCATTGCATATACAAATTCCACAAATGTTTCATTTTTTTTCATAATTGAACAGACCCATTTTCTGTTAACGATCTTAACGAAGGAGAAATTTTAAGTATTATGGAAATGTATTTATTGTTGTATATTTAATGTAAAACTCATGTGTTCCATATAGGACCTTAAGGGGAAATATATGGTGGAAATTAAAACACAACTTGAGCAAAAAACTTGAGAACTTTTTTATAAAATTATTGTAATTTAAAAAAAACTCATATAGGCAATTTGATATTAGCTAGACAACCATACAAAATTTCAAAGATCAACCTGACATACTTTTGTAAGATATAAATTTACAAAAAAAAAACACTACTGGCCTGTCTTTTTCTTCCCTATTTGATAATTTCATATATGTCATAAGCGGAGGGACCATTAATTTCCTTTTAAATTGAATATAGTTGTCTAATACTTCCTCCATTTCGTATTATAAGTAATTCTGACTTTTTCTAATCAAACTTTTGTAAGTTTGATCAAATTTATAGAAAAATATAGGAATTAACATTTTTAACACAAAACTAATATATTATAAAAATATATTTACGGTACATTTAATGAAACTAATTTAATATTATATATGTTGCTAATTTTCTACAAACTTAGTTAAACCTAAAGAAGTTTTTGTCTCCTGTAGATACCTTTATTAATTAATTACTACCGTGAAACCGTCAAATTAACATACATATTGTTTTATATATTATCTAATTCATTTTTTTTCTTAGATCATATCAGTCCTCAATCTCTTTGCTTGAGAAACTACAGAAATAGCTCTAGTCGATAAGTTAAATGCAACGTAACAACATGAATTAATTCAACTGGACGCGGACGGAGAGAAGCGGGCAAGCTGGATGGTGGTGTTGGACGTGGAGAGAAGAGAAGGCAAGACCGGCTGCAGTAGTATGTACTCCCTCCGTATTTTAATGCATGACACCGTTGACTTTTCGATCTCAACGTTTGACCATTCATTTTATTTAAAGAACATTTGATGATGAATCTAGTCACAATAAAATAAATAACAATTGCATAAATTTTTTGAGTAAGACGAATGGTCAAACATTGGATAAAAAGTCAACGGCGTCATACATTAAAATATGGAGGTAGTATAACTCATCAGCGTCGGTTCGTAAAGAATGTATCTCAGTTCCGCTGATGTGAGAATCTGTATCTGCAAGTAAACAAGAAAAAGAAGCATTGAGCCGACTCAATAAATCGAGCCGATGCTTCAAATCTAACAATAAAAACTCCAAACAAAAATAGATCATATATAGAACCAATCTTTAGCGATCGAGTTGCAACATTTATCACATTATATTGGAAGAATTAAACATAACATAAGTACACATAGAAGAGGGTGCCATAGGCCGAGGCCACTGTCGCCACTCCACGTGGTGGAGAAGCCCACCTGCCCATGTCGGTTTGAAGCAACCGACACCTCACCGTTTATCAAGCGGGAGTCTTGAGCTCAAGAAAAACATCCATCTATTCACGCCCAACCTCGTGGAGACTTGATCTCGCCTCCCCAAGCTCATGGTAGCATGATCCAGCGAGTCTCGAGCTCCAAATGATCAACTCCAGAGAGCAGGGGAGGGAGCCAACGCTGCTCACCATGGTGAAGTCCGCCGGCCCGCCGTCGAGCGGGCCCCTCGAGCTCGGACAAGTGGTGGGTCTAGTCACTCCAAACCTCATGGTGGTCCGATTCTGAGCTCTAGACGGATTAGATCCGGGGCAAGAGATTTTGAGTGGGGAGATAGAAGCAAGAGATGGGGGAGAGAGCGAGTACTTTACTTTTTAATTCTTGATCTAGCTCGGTGATTTCTTAGGTCATCTAAAATATAGCATTGATAGTGTTTTTTTCCCTATGCTGGATTGTTAAGGAATCGGCACCGCCTATCTAGAGAGCATGCATGGTTAGGTGGGTGGAAATCGTATCTGTGCCAGTTTTTGTTTAACTGGCACTAATAGAATATTACATTTTAACATCCTTTATTAAAAAAAATAGAGTATCACATTTAATGTGTTCTATAGAAGGGTATCTTCCTCTATCTCTCTATCCTTTTGTGGTGATCTTTTGCATAATTGGAGTGGACATGCATAATTATTCGAGGGAAATGTACTAGGAGTCTAGGAGAAAATACAAATTAAGGCCAACTGATTGAAGGAACTAACTAGGAAGATGCCATTTATATATCTAATTATCCAGCAACCAAAGTGTGTACTACATGTGACGAAAGTGGTTTGTTCTCTTAGTGGCATCAGCACAAAGACGACAATTCAACTCTTACGACTACCTGTCAAATCCACTCGTTAAAGAAGGAAAGTAAAAAAACAGAGCCGTTTTCAGAGAGTTTCAGTTGATGAGACATTGAGACTGTATAATCTTCGCAAGCATCTGGTGAACTCGTGCAACAACCTTAATCAACAATAGGACGATCCTGGTCCATCGGAAACACCAAACAAGGATCTTTCAGAATTTGGGAAAGATCAGCATTCTCTGTTTTTGTACACTTCGATTCTGTTAACCGTTTTCTACTAGATAAAAAGGGAATTATATTGATACTCATAATAAGTAGTACATTCTTGAGAAATTATTTTGTTCTACATAGAAAAGTAACTAACTTAGCATGCCAAACATGAGAGTTTTAACCGAATCCTTTGCGGCCCGGTACGAGAAACCCTGCAATGACTTTTCTGCAAACGCAATTATATTAACCAGTACTCCCTCCATACTCGTAAAGAAAGTTGTTTTGGACAGTGACATGGTCTCCAAAACACAACTTTGACTTCTTATTTCTATAAAAATATTTATTGAAAAGTGATATGTATACTTTTATGAAAGTATTTTTCAAGGTAAATCTATTCATATAATTTTTATATTTCCAAGGTTTGACTTAAAACAAACGACTTCCTTTATGAGTATGGATGAAGTATGCATGCATGGTTTCGCCTTTTCTTTAATTTCCTCATTGATTTTTGTTTTCTTAACTACTACTACTTTTGTATTCATATTTATTCCCGCTGTTTTAAATAATACTAGGAGCCACTCCCTTTGCTTTTACTTAAAAAAGTCTGCACGAGCATGAATCGAAACAGTTTCTACCAAATTCCCAGCTAGAATATTCTGCATCCAAAATTGATTGTATGCATGTAGTAAGTCTGAAGAAAGCTTAATATAATGTACCCCTGTCGGTTTACATGCATGTTTTTGCCGGCTTGTACTTAAACGAACGCATGCGTGTGTGTGTGTCTCTATATATATATATATATATATATATATATATATATATATATATATATATATATATATATATATATATATATATATATATATATATATATATATAGTCTTTTTTTTAACTGTATACGCTGGTTGTTAATATGGAATTTTAACTGTTACTATATATGAAAAAACTGTTACTATTGACCAGTGAAATTCTAACTTTAACCACCAATAGATTTAAATGGTTAAACCATGATATATACGAAAGTTTCGCAAGGATGTAACATGTATAGTACTTCATTAAATGAAATTCCTTTAAGTATTTCTTTTTTCTAAAAAGATCAACTATTAAAATTTGAAGATGAATAGTATCTCGTGACAAATATTTGAAGATGGAGAGAGTATATTAATTCCCTCTTATACTCTAGAAACATAAACACTAGGCCTATTATGGTTATACCATTATAATTAGGGGCATTAATCTTGCTACCGATGTGCATGTTATGTACTCCCTTTGATTTTATTTATTTGAGGCTTAACCAATACTCCCTCTTTCCCAAAATATAACAACCTTTAGTCCTCGGGATTTGTTCAGGACTTGTCCTGAAATATAACAACTTCTCCACCAACATTCTCTTCCTAACCAATCACAACTCTCCACCATTCACTTTTCTCACCTACTTCCACTACTCATCCAATCATAACCCTCCACCACTCACTTATACATACTTTCTTAATAACCGTGTCCAACCATAAAACTTCTTATATTCTGGGATTGAGGGAGTATCATATAACAGAAGGAAGGAGAAAGTATATGCTAGTGATGCTAGCCATATAAGGTTGTGTTTTTTCTCCTTTCTTTCCCAACTCATCTCCTACTTTTCGCTCACACGTTTTTTAAACTGCTAAACGGTATGCTTTTTAAAATATATATATATAAGTTATTTTAAAACATCATATTAATTATTTTTTTAATTTTTTAAGCTAATACTTAATTAATCACATGTTAATGGGTAACATCTGTGGGTAACATCAGATAGAAGTAGAAGGTAGCATAAGACCATCATCTTTTTCCCTTTCTAATATATTATACTACCTCTATATTTTAATGTATGACGCCGTTGACTTTTCGTCCACTATTTGACCATTCGTCTTATTCAAAAAATTTACTTAATTATCATTTATTTTATTGTGACTTGATTCACCATCAAATGTTCTTTAAGCATGACATAAATATTTTCATATTTTCACAAAAAATTTGAATAAAACAAATAGTCAAACATTAGTAAAAAAAATCAATGGCGTCCTATATTAAAATACGGAGGGAGTAGTTTTTCTAAAGTATCCTGTGAATCACACGCGCATATGTAGCTTGCATAGTTACACAAAATATGCCTCCTTTAAATGCCGGAGCTACCAAAATGGGCTCATAATAGCCTGAAATTAAGTAGTCCCTTCACCGACAAAACACTAGTTACTACTGTATCATCAACAACGACCTGAATTTACAGTAGGGGAGAAACAGCTTGAATATAAGCTGAAATAAGTTGAACCCATACCATCATCGCTAGTGAAGAGTTTGATTGCAGATAATTAGTTATGCTTAGTATAAAATGCAAAAATCCATCTGATCTATAACAATAGGTAAATAAATCACATCTCTAATTTATTTACCCATGCTGGTTCTTTCAGAAATAATATTTAAATACTTTGAAAGTTGCGTTGAAGACAGTCGGCCCGGATATTAAGGTTCAACTTTATTTCTTTTTTCATCAATTAGTTTATGCAATTCTGCCCAATGATATTGTTACTAGTAAATTTTACAGACAGTAGCCAACACTGTGGATTTATTTATTCCATAACCCATGAGAGAGATGTGATAATATGCACACACTACTAATTCAGTACAGTGATTTAATATCACTTATATCTCATCATATCTTGGATGTCATGTAGAATACCAAGTCAATGCAAAATCTATTTTCTTTTTTTTTCACCATTAAATCTTTCACCAAATCATAAAAAATCTTATGTGGCGGCTAGCTCATTTAATCCTATGTAAAACATCTTAGGTCGAGTATTAGGACTGTGCCAACAGAAATACTATGTGCTAGCCCAGCTTTCAGGGGCCCAACAATCACCAAAGTAACTCTGCCCTTCGGAAAATTAAAGGCAGCCACTCAGACACACAGTGATATCCAGCAAATGCACGACGGATCACATGGAGTTTCAGCCCCAGGGCCAATCACATCTTGCGCAAGTACAGCCGTTGCTGGTATCTTCAACCATTCCTCTATTATCTCCTGGCCTGGTCCTGCTCAGCTGCAACTGTAACGGTTAGTTCAGTCCCATACTTCTTCCGTTTCACAATGCAAGTCATTCTACCATTTTTCACATTTATATTGATATTAATGAATCTAGATATATATATTTGTCTAGATTCATTAACATCAATATAAATGTAGGAAATGTTAGAATGACTTATATTGTGAAATGGAGGGAGTATGTACGTATGGTTTCAGAGAGTTCGACTGTTCCAGAAGTTAAGGGCAATAGACAGTTGGATGCAGGCTACTAGTCATTACCTGGTAATTTTCTGCCTTTTTTTGTGGTCATTGTAAGTAATTCTTGACAGGAGATCACACATGCATAGCTCCATTTCATCTGCAATGTCAGACGCTGTCAAGATTAAGGAGTAGGAGTTTTGTTTATAGGAGGGACGAAAATGTGAGTGATGGATAGCATGATGAAATCGCAGGTGCGATATTGATGAATGACTGCAGCAGCATTACACTAATTGCTATATATATTTTTTATTTAAGAGCAGCAAGGTCTGTTTGTAACTAAAACAGAAATGTTTTCAATTAAAAAAAACTAACAGCACAAGGTCTACAGCATACCAAGTAAACTAACGCTAGCTAGAAGCAGCCAGATAGATCAGAAAAACTCGAAAACTTTGCAGCACAATTCTGTAATGTAATGTGCTGATAATGTATAGCATGAAAGACTGCGGCACAAATCAGTTCCAAGAAACTTACAAGAATTAACAAGCGGAATTAGACCAAAGCATCGCTTTTTACACAAAAACAATTGTAAAATCAAATTTGGTGCTTCCACATAACAACTGGGCCAGGGAATCTTACCATACTGTGCTTCCATTAAATTGAGAAATTCAATTTTGCCACCACAGCATGAAATCCAGCTCGAGGCATGGTTAAGTGTACTGAGTAGGTGGCAAGCACCGATCCCCATTAAATCAGCAGACTTTCGGGGAGGAAATCCATTCTGCATGGAAAGAAGACTGCCAATATCCATGGAAGCTAAAAGTGCCATGGCCTCGCTCTAACCTACAAATTTGGACACAGATTTGAGTTAAAGAACTCACAATGGAAGCTTCATCATGTGAATTGAAAGCGAGCAGATCACCGTCATGCTGAACTAGCTGGACGAATCAAACCATTAAATGATAGACAACTACTAACAGTGTCAATGGAACTGTAGAGCATCTTTCGCATGTATATATAGGCGCACAAAGGCAATTCAGTTCATCAGCTCAAGCACCTCAACCAGTTCAGTCATCCATTCTGTCTTCTCTGCAGATACTGAGAGCCAAGATGAGTAGCAAGGTTCTTCTGATCAGTGGTGTCCTGGTGGGGCTCCTTTCTCTGAGCTCATGCAGGAGCCTGGGAGAGTTGTCTGAACAGAAGACCTACTCTTCTACTACTCAGTGTATTTTTCTATCCCCCATACCTTCTGTGCAATATGCCATTATTATATTGTATCTAACGTGGTTGATGTGGCGATGTTAAAGAACACTGCATATAGCATCTAGTTAGTAAATGCAAATACAAAATAACTAAATTATGCAGAGCAACTAAGAATGTAGTGCTAACTCACTGTTAACTCGGATGTACTATAAGGTACGGTATATCACATTTGTTTGACCATATTACAGGACAGCAAGGATATGCCATACTGTTTTTTATGTCTTTCAGAATTAACAGTTATAACAGATGTGATATTGTATATGTTACCAGATGGTGGCTCCCCAACTCCATCATATGGATCAGATGGTGGTTACAAACCAACACCAACCCCAACACCAGCTTACGGCTCTACACCAACACCATCTTATGGCACTACACCAACACCATCTTACGGCACTACACCAACACCATCTTACGGCACGACACCAAGCACCCCCAGCACACCTGATGTCCCTGAAGTTCCGACAAAGCATGATTTCTGTGGATCCTGCGAGTAAGAGCCAGTATATGAGTTCACATTATCAAATATCACAAAGAACAAAGTCTAAAATGGTTTTACTTTTTTCCTAAAATTACAGTTACTGGAAGAACCATCCAGATGTTATCATCTCAGCTATTGGGTCCCTTGGCGACATTGGCAAGACACTCGGTACTGCTTGCAGTTTGATCACTGGCAAGAAGCTAGAAAATCTTCATGATGCACTTTCAAACACTGGAACTGATGGTACTGGTGCTCTGCTCCGCGAGGGAGCAGCTGCATACCTCAACTCCATTGTGAACAAGAAATTCCCTTTTACCACCCAACAGGTTAAGGATTGCATCGTCGTGGCCATGACCTCTGATGGCGCTGCTTCTTCCCAGGCTGAGATCTTCAAGAAGGCAAATGATTATCACTACTAGTTCAAGAGGTGTTTCCTGGCTAAATTATTTGCTCCTATGTGTTTCTTCATTGATGTAATCTTGCTGTTTGATAAATCCATTGTATTCTTTTGGTTTGCAATGTAATACCACCATCTAAGATATTTGATTTTTATAAATCCATCACAGATGGCACTGCAAGATTTTGCTTTGGTGACCTATAAAAGCAAGCTATAGCGTAGTCACAAGATCACACCATAACTATGAGATATTTGTGACTGCTGTAGCGCTGTCTGTTTCTTGGTTTTACACTGACAAAGAAGTGTAACAATAGCTGGGCCTAAAAGTACATGGCTGAGGAGTACCTCTGGTAGTCTGGTTCATTGATCTTGAAGAGTGAAACCTCTATCAGAAAATTCCAATATTCTGATCTTTCCTAATATACCCAACAATAATTCGGCAAAGATAAATTACATTAACAAAACCAAAAACGAAATAAGATGGCTAAAATTGAATGGAGAATGATATAGAAAATTTATGACAAAAAGAAGGGTCACTTATTGAAGGAAAAGTTACTGGTGAATTGGTGATGCTTTAGCATCAAGATGGATGGATCTGCTTGGTTTATAGCCAATGTAAACCAACAAAAATATTGGCAAGCCAAAACATAGGTGCTACCAAAATTTTGGTAAAGTTAGGGTGTTTGGTTTATTGCCAAAATTTTGGTAGAGCACTAGAGAATGGAAGCAAAACAAACACATCCAGTATATCCATGGAGGCAATACAATAAAACAATAAAATACAAGCATATTGGCATTGATAAATAATTTAAGCAAACTTTGCAGATTGCTCAGCTAATTGTTAATTTATTGATGAAATTGAAATGTGCACTTCTGTGTAAAATAGTGCTTCAAGTAACAGAGTAAACAAGAACCTGCAAGGAGCCAAGGATTGTATTTGCAAGACAATGTTACGATTTACTTGGAAGAGACAAAGTGCCCATCAATATCTTTGTGATGATTAACTGAACATGGTACCCAATGGAGTTATATTCAACAGGAACGTGAGATACTTCCTTAACAAGATAACTGCAAAATCCTATATTTTCAGTATAGACACTATTGCACTAGAATATTTTGTTAGAGAACACAAAAATGCTTTGCATGTCTTTGCTTTGTGACTGGGTATGAAAACATTTGCTCTGCATGGACCAATTGTTCGGCATCTTTATCATTTTTCTGTGGATTGAAGTAATTCCTCTGTTACAAGATACAATGGTAATAAAACGCCTGTTACATCAACAACAACAATGGAAGAATGGAACGTAATTGTATTAGAAACTACAAGTGGGCATTGTGAACGGTAAACTGCGAGAAGAAGCCTTACGAGGTTTTCCTCCATCTTCCCATCTCTCTTGAATCAATGATTGTGCATTCCATTCCTCAAAATCAGAAGCATCAGCTGGATCCACCATCGAATTGCTCGCTTCAAATCAGTTTCAGTAGCATTGCCACTAGAACACTTTCAGCTCTTATGATCCATATGCGACTCAAACCAGTCGAAGATTTCCCCATTCTTGAGGCTGGTAAACTCATGGTACGCATATGCAAGATTCAGCTCCTCCGTGACATGCCTCTCCAGCCGGAATTCCTCCGGCAAGATCTTCGCCTCCTCCGCCGCCTTCTTCCACGGCGTGCTCCTCCCGTCATTCTTCAGAAACCCCTTCTCATCCACGAACCCCTTCCGGCGAAGCACATCGACCAGCCCATCGGCGACGGCGAGGGTCAACCCGGGTATCCTCGCCGCCAAGAACTGGGCGCTCACGGCGAACTCGCCGCATTGGATCTCCCGCACGCTGACGCGGCTCCCTCTGAGCTTGCCCATGCTCGCCGCCACCTCCCGCGCCCTCTCGCCGTCCTTGGGCATTTGCACGAACAGCGCCGGCGGGTACCTCGCCGGGATCTCCTCCATCGTGGCGAACACGCCCTCGGCGATCATGATTGCGACGCTGCTGAACCTGACCCTCGCCGCCAGCGCGGAGAGGAAGTACCCGCCTGAAGAGGCGCCGATCCCGACGAGCGGGAGGCCGGCGAGCTGGTTGGGGTGCCTCTCCTTGACCCACCACTCGATGATGGACTCCACGGCGGCGAGCTCGCCCCCGTCCCCGGTGTCGAGGGACCAGCACTCCGCGCGGCTGGACACCGCGAGCACGGCGTACCCGCGGCGGAGCGCCTCGCGCGTGAAGCGGCGCTCCTCGGGGAGCCCCGCGCAGCGCGGGCACCCCGGCGAGGCGTCGAAGAAGTCGGTGGCGCGGATGGTGCACCCCGGGGCCACGAACACCGCGGCGCGGGGAGGCGTCGTCGGCGGCGGCAGCTGCCACAGCACCTCGTTGCCGCTCCTCCGCTCGACCCTCGCGTCGAGGCGGACGGCGGCGGCGGCGGCGGCGGAGGCAAGCTGCTCCGGGGCGGCGGGAGGAGCGCGCGGGAGGAGGAGGACGGTGGCGAGGAGGACCAGCGCGCAGCACGACGCGATCAGCGCCGCCGGCCTGCGGAGCTGCGGGATTCCGGCGAGGAAGGCGTCCATTTCGCCGGCGATTTTTGGCGGCGGCGGCGGCGGCGGCGCTAATGGAGAGAGAGATCTTAAGCTCGGATGGATTAGAGCCCGAGATTAAAAGTTGACTTTTCTCCACCTGTTGACTTCATCAGGAGGAGGAAGAACGAACGAACTCAAATGGGCCGTCATCTCCTCTACGCCTGCTTGGGCGGCCCATAATAGTTATGGCCCGTACACGACTATGGAATAAGTTCACTTTTACTCACTTAACTAGTGACGCGCAAGGGATGATTCATGAGACCTACTCCCAAGTCCCAACTCCCAAGCCGGGGGAGGACAGTGCCGCCTCGGGCTCTAGGAGCGGTACAAGGTGCAGCTGCTGGCATAGAGTTTGTTGGGTTCAGATCCCCTAGAGTTGGCATCAACTCCACCTGGATTTTAGTAAATCTCGGCCATCATTTTATTCCTATGGTTGAGATCCTAATTGACTCTCTTCATTGATGTAGATTTGGATGTTTCTTTTCAACTAATCAATTTCCAACATAATCAGGAAAATAAAATAAAGCTCTCAAAAAACAGAAAATAAAATAAATGTATTCTTCTTCCTCCCCCAATTAATTGACCAACATGAACTTTTTTAGAAGAGTGGTATTGTAGTCATGTAGATGATGAACATGGACAGGATCTTGCGATGGTGGAAACTGGGCGAGCTCACTATAAGCAAAGCCTTATACATTACACCAAGCTCCTTGATGCTGCTGTACAGCTAGTAGATAGAGCCGATGGTAGAGGACTTGTTTATACTAAAAAAGATAAGATCAGAGAATGGAGAAACAAATTAAGGATATGTTGAGGTGTACTGATTTAATCTCACCGGTAGGTGACAAATAATGGCTGAGATTAGCCTAAATCTACCAGGTGGAGTTGAAGCCAACTCTAGGGGATATGGACCCGGGTTTGTTGCATCGCGTCCACCGCAAGGCAGAGCAGGTACAACACGAAAGAACGAGATCGCCGTGGAGGAACTATCTTGATGGCAGCGGCCTTTCCTCCACCCCCATCCTCTCCCTAACTCGCTACCGAGGCACTCTCCTCCCTCCCTCCCTCCAATCTGCTGCGTGAGGCCTTGTACTACCTCGCGACAGCACCCCGCGCCTCTTCACCTATTGTTCCCTTGTCGTTGGCGTCGCGTGGGATTGGGAAGCAACTCAGCGTCAGCGACGAACTCCAACGATGACACCACCTATCCTCTCAAGCTCCGCAGTGCCGCTGACGCATCCAACCTCGGCTACATCCCCCACCTCGATCGATGGTGGAGACACGAGGCCACTGCTATAGCTCGGAGAGAATAACGGAGAAAGCGGTTGGTTGGGCCACTGGAGCCATCGTCCAATCCCCATCCCTCCTCCATCGCAAACGTCTGTTAATGTCAAATTTTGGTAAGGTTCTTTAGTGAATTCGGTAAAAAAAAAAAAAGAGATCAAATAACCAATAAAAGTTTATCTAGAAGAGACTAAGTACAAAGAGAAATTATCAACATCACAGCATAGTAGTTTAGTTATATCTATTGATTAGATAAGATTTAGTAGCTTTTCTTTTATCTTTAGAAAATTTATCTAGTGTCTGATCAAGGCTTCTAAATTTTCTTTTATCTTTTAGCAGTTCGGTTCATCCTGGCGCTTGACTAGGACGAGGAGGTGACGCCGTGATGGTTTCTCTCGATGCCGACAACCCCATCCTGCCGTTGGCGGTCGCAGCGGCGCCTTCTGTCACCAAGGCCAAGTTTAGTTCTAAAATAATTCTTCAAACTTCCAACTTTTTCATCACATCAAAACTTTCTTACACACATAAACTTCCAACTTTTTCGTCACATCATTTCAATTTCAACCAAACTTCCAATTTTGGTGTGAACTAAACACAACCCAAATTTAAAAGAAAATCAAGTTTACTTAGCCCCGAAGAGAATTCTTAATGGTCATTGTTTCTCACAAGATGGAACGAACAAGAACACGGAGTGGACGATAATCTCCTGGTAGAGAGGGAGGAACAAATAGGTTGATAGATTCATCATGAATAAAACTTTACTGCATATGACAGCAACCAGAATAACCGGAACGGTTGCACATGCTTATAAGTTAAGCCATAAACATTCAAATGTGTGCTGCTTTCATAAACTTGAATCAATCTCAGACATCTACAGCAAATGCAATAGCATACATGTCAACATAGTACAGGTAATATCAAATGCAACATCCTGTGACAGAATAGTCAAATGCAACATCATCTGTCAAAAACATCAGTTCGCTAGGTTTTATTGGTTTATCATTCAGTCCCACACGCTCTACCTCTCTAACTCACCTTCCTTGATCTCTGTATATGGGAGTATAGTTTGACAAAGACAAGCCCACGATGATCCATCCAGTAACAGCATCAGAACATGGAGCAGGAAAAAAAGGTGAAGCAATTTAGATATTGAGCACAATAATGTTGCATTGCTTCATCCATGGTTTATTATTACTTGTTCTTGAACTGGAAGGCTTCTCACGCTTTGATTGTTAGAAAAAACAACGCTAGTAGAGCTACTCCAGGAGTGTCTTCCCTATCTTCACAGAAGGACATCAGTTTCATGCTAGCATATCTGAATCGAGTTGCTCAAGATTTGGAAATATTGTCTTCAACGTGGATGAATAGTTTGGAGCTTTTGCCTGCAAAAATGAAAAGACATAGGCAATGACAATTCAATCTCAACATAGCACTGGACAATAGTAAATATACATGGAATGTACATGCATTTCTTAAAAACCAACAGAAATTATTTTGTCTAATCTGACTAGCATAACAGAGTTTATAGTACAGACTATTCAAGCTCAATAACATCCTAGCTATTATGTTTGTACTTCGATAAACAAATTGTTGGTAGTTAAATTTCAACTGTAGCACGATTACAAAGATTCGTGGGAAATCAAGGATGAATGCAAATTCAAGCAATGACGACACTCTGATGTAACTTTCCATTCAAAATAAAATAAATGGAGTTGTTTGGAAGCCACTAAATGATGAAAGGCTTTCACAGTTGATGAATCATATGTGGTTAAATTCATCAGAAGCTGGGGAGCAAATATAGTAATACGATTGTGTTATCTTGGCCCTGCGTGGAGAAGGCTCCTTGCTTATTCCCAGTTCTGTTCATCTTTCAGATTATTACCAAATTTCAATTTACAAGAACAGTTGATGACTAACTACATAAGAATTGCAGTACTTACGCAAGGATTCCGCTCAAGATATATGGTAGTCAGCTTCTCCCGTGAACTAGCCAAAGCAGATTCTATCCCATCTAGTGATGGTATTTGGTTGTCATTCAACCACAAGTCCTCCAACCTGCATGGCCAGTGAGGATGGTACCGAAAGGAGTCAGAACCAATTTTTTGGTTATGCTGTTTACTTTTTTTTTTTTTGTCTCCGAGGGTGAGAAGCAATCTGCTAAGTGTAAACAGTGTTACCTGCTTAAGGTTTCAACATCTTCGATAGCAGTTAGCTTGTTGGATGAAACATCTAAAACACGAAGGTTCTGCAAGGTAGAGAGACCCTCCATCTTTTGTATTCCATTATGACTGAGGTATAGTTCCTCTAGTGCAATACATTCCTGAATAAGAGAACAATGGACTGGTTATCAAGTAGCGCTTCACAAGAAAATCAGGGGATGAGAGAAAGTAATGTCACAGTACTTGTAACCCATTCATTGAAGTCAGTCTGTTGCTTTGCAAGCTTAATTTTTTTATTGCTTTCAAACTACATAGGTTGATTGTCTTTATTCGATTTCTTCCCAGCCATAGCTCCTGCAGATTTGCCAAGGTTTCTAGATTTTCCATCACCTGAAATTCAGTAGATAAGTAAGAATGCATGTACACAATGCATCATTATACATCAAATCTGACTAACTTGACTGGCTGGTGGAACTTAAAATGCACTGCAAACTGCTTACCCTCAATCTGTTGCTACCAAGTTCAAGAATTTGTAATGCATGAAAGTGTTCGAGTTCCTCCATCTTTGCAACTTCATTCTTTGAAACATAGAGTTCCTTCAGTGTGCTGGAAACCTTGGACAGCCCCTTTAAGGAAGATATCTCATTGAAAGATACATCAAAGACCAGAAGGCCTTTGAAGATGCTGGCATCAGGAATCGTTGTAAGTTTGTTATCTCTAAAGACCAACTCCTGAAACAGGGGATGTTTTTCAGATATTATTATCAAATTATTTTGACAACACATGAATTCCGCACTGTGACATTGGAGAAGTAATACCAAGTTGAAGAAAAAACTTTATGCGATTAATCACTTTGAAACCACGATAAATGTATTTAGTATAACATGTTAGGTCTGTTTGTATTTTCAGGATAGATGTAATGTGGACAAGTCATACACCATTTCTAAATCATATAATTTTTTTTCATATAGATGTAGTTTACTCTAGCTACCTGTACTTGTTACTGGTTGAAACAAGGAAACATGGCCGAATTGATCACCTCAATATGTATACGGTATACATATTTACCTAACCAAGTATATCTAAAGGCACAATTTATAGAGTTCTTTTCTTACAGAAATCCTCTGTGTCATGATGTAACTGCAACAAAAAAAGGTTGTTGCTTTAATAAAAGAAATAGCAGAAATGGTTTACACAAGCTTATAATTGGGTAAACAAGAGCATTATTACGATCGCACGAGCCCCAAAAGGACTGGCGCAACCACACATTCCTAAATCCCTAGATTCCCAAATAGAGAGACGGAAATCACAACCACCTGCAGCCCAGCGATGTCGGCCCAGGTGGAGAGGGGCGCGACGGCGGCGTCGTCGAGGAGGTTCTGGCGGAAGGAGAGCTTGCGGAGGCCCGGGAGGCGGCCGATGCGGGGGTCGACGGCGGCGAGGCGGTTCGCCGTGAGTTCGAGCTCCTCCAGGGTGGGCGGGATCTCCACCTCGCTCAGATCGTGCAGCTGGCAGCTCGTCAGGTCGAGGCACTGGTCCGCCTCCACCTCCATCGACTCCGCCGCCGCCGCCGGCGCGTCCACCGGATCGCCGGACGCCATGGGGGTTTCCCCGACTTTCCAGAAGCTTCTGGAACAACGCCGCGGACTGAAGAAGGCGAGAAAGAAGCACACGCGACGCGAGAGCGAGCGAGAAAGAGAGATATTGCAAGTGGATGGGCCTAGTTTGGGCTCGAAATCGAAAGGCTAGGCCCAGTGGCCCATATCGGAATCTAATAAGAATAAGTCTACATGGCTTCCCTCAACTCATGCGCCAGTTGAAATGCACCCTCAACCGCAAAACCGGGTATAACCTATCCTCTAACTCACAAAACCGTTGCAAATTGACTCCCCCAGCAGTTTTGGAGGTGATTTCATCCTATGTGGCACTTACGTGGGGGGTTAACTTGGTTTACATCCCATGTGGCATCGACGTGTCGCTTACGTGGCACTAAAATAAAAACAAACCTAAATAAAAATAAAATTTAGGCCACGTGTCAGTTACTCAACTCCTCCCTCTTCCCTCTTTATACTCGGCGTTGATCAAGATGGAGTGAGCATCGGGGCGGTGAGAGCTCGACGGGAGCAGTATGACGACAGGAGCGCGGAAGGGGGGGCGGGAACTCGATAGAGCAGTAGGAGCAGTAGGATGGCGGGGCGGGGCTCGAGGCAGCAGAACAACGGGAACGGCGACACCTCCTCTCCTCGTCGCCACCTCCACATCCGCGCCCTCACCGCCGCCTCCTCTCCTCTCCCTCCCCGCCGCGTTGATGGCGACGTCCAGGTTGATGGCAGCGTCGACGGTGTTGGTGTCGGCAGCCAGGAGCTCGGCGAAGCGGTGGACCGGCGGGAGCAGCAAGACAGTGGGAGTAGAGAGAGAGAGAGTAGAGGTGAGGAAGCCTCGCCGCCGCCTCCCCTCCCGCGCCCCTCCGCCGGTGCCTCATCCCCGTCTTTCCCTTCACCCTCTTCTCCCTTCCCACCGCCGCCTTCCCTCCCGCGTGCCCTCCTCCGCTGCCTCATCCCTGTCCTCACCTCCTCCTCTCATCCCTCCCCACGGAGTACGGAGTAGACACGGCGAGGGAGAGGTGGCTGCGTCGGGCTTCAGCGGTCGGAGAGGAGAGTAGCGAAGTGGCGGGAGCGAAGCAGGGAGGTGGAGGAGACGTGGAGGTTGATGGAGGGGCGGTGATCCTCGCTGGTGTCGAAATCCACATTGTAATCGGGGCAAGGGGTCAAGGTGGAGGCGGAGGACGAGGTCAGTGTTGGGAAGGAGAACAAAGGAAAGGAGGCGGCGGTGTGGGGAGCCAGCAAGGACGGGAGGGAACTAAGCCGGCGTGCGGAGTCGTCCCCTTTGCCGAGATTGACGTAGCAGCGCTTGCGCGCCGTCTGCTGCGGAGAGCTCATCCGCCGGCCCTGCTGGCCTAGCCGTCGAACTCTGCCGTGCTCTGTCTCGCCGTTGCCGACGCCATCCACTGCCGTCTGCCGGAGTGCCAGTCGCTGCCATCCACCTGAGAGAGAGAAAAGGTAGCTGACACGTGGGCCCGGAATTTGTTTTTATTGTGTTTACTCACTGACATGTGGTCCCATTTATGTTTATTTTAATTTTAGTGTCATGTAAGCGCCAAAGATCAAGTCAACCCACCATATAAGTGTTACGTAGGATGAAACCGCCTCCGGAACACCCGAAGAGTCGATTTGCTATGGTTTTGAAAGTTAGGGATGAGTTATATCCGGTTATGCAGTTGAGGGATGCGATTCAACCAGTATGAGTTGAGGGAAGCAAAGCAGACTTATTCGAATCTAATAGAGTGAGGCCCAATAATAAACTGGGCTCTCCTCAAATTGGAGAGTCCACGAGAACCCTAAAACCCTCGTCTCTCTCTTCTCTCCCCTCTCCGGCCATGGCGTCGCGCCTCCGCTCCTTCTCCCGCCCCGCCGCCGCGTTCCTCCGCTCCGCCGCGGGACGGAGCCCGGCGGCCTCGCTGCCCCGAGCCGTCGCTCCCGTCACCAGGTAAAGCGGGCAGGGCTGAACCCCTCGCTCATTTTTTTCTTTCCCCTTCGCGGAGATTGAAATCTTGTGTGTGGTGCAGGGCGGCGTCCGTGGGGCGGCTGGTGGGGCTCGCGAGGTCGCTGCAGCCGCTGCACAGCGCGGTGGCGGAGGCGCGGCTGACGTCGCGGCTCGGGGCGGAGGTGGCGCGGGCCGTGTCGCAGGGTACGCTCTGCAGCTCCTTCCCGGGAGTCTGAGTCTGATATCAAATCTAATCTTTGCATCCTGCATGTGAGTTGTGACCGCACCCGGTTGCTTTGCTTTGATTTGCCTTGTTTGTTCTAGTTCATCTTGTGCCTAGATTCGGCTGGGCTGATGTAATTGTTGTCGGAATATGCTTAGTTTTAGTCATCAATAAAATCAAATTCGTTGATCCCGAGTAACTGTTGGATATGGGATTAAATGTCTATCCCTGGGTCTGGTTTGTTGAAAGCAAAGTTCTCTCAGTGCTCCACTGCTTCTGCAAACCAAACGACATTGTAAATTGGCAACGGAATTACTATGAAATATGGTGGAAACTGACAGGGTCACACTAGATAAGAAATGCTGGGATGATAAGAACTTGTAGGAGTATTGTTCATGCTCTTTATGCTGTCATTCTGTGTCTGCAGGACATAATTGGTTTTCTGTTTGAAAGACCATTAAGGCCACCACTAGATCGATTGTACCAACACTTTGTTGGACAGTGCAGTGTATCCATCCTTAAGGCATATTGGAAATAAATACATTAACATCCCATGAATATAAGAATATTACATTGAAATGCCACTTTTTTTCCCAGAAATGGCAACTTGTTCTGAATACTCTCATTTGGTTAGTTAAGGTACTCAGTGTTCTCTATTTTCCATATGGGAAACATCAAACAAGAGAGCAAATTGTTAGGATACATAAGCATGTTATTTGATAGTCAGTTTTGCTTCTTAATAGGGTGCCTAACATCCAGTTAATATATATATATATTTTCTGTTGTTGAACAGGAAATACCACATGCACAATATTCCACCGTATCCATAACTTTGGGGAAAATGTTTTGTACTTGTACTGTAGTGCTAGTCTACTGCTACTGCTACACTATGAGATCTAAAGCAGTTCTACTTCTTACTATCTCTTTCAAAATGCTTCACATTGTTGGCTGCTACTATTCAATTTTTCAACATTATTTTTATCAAGATATTTATTGAAAAAACAAGTTGTAAACTAATTTCAAATTAAGTTTCATGAAAAATGTAACGTAAAATCTTTTCATTTACCATAACTGAATAGTTTAATAAAATATTAATGCTCAAACTTTTCAGGTTATCAAATGCAAAATTTGCGGCCTTCTGTTTCCCCTTTTTTTTTTTGGTTGGGTGGGGGGGGGGGGATTACACACAGAGGGCTTAATGAACATTGTGCCAAGCTAAAGGCAAGATCCAGTAGAATAATCAATAGCATTACTCTTCAGAAAAAGAATGATCAATAACATTCCCCACCAGAAAAGGAATAATCAATAGCATTGCAATGAAATCCTGCTCCAAAACATATACCGTCCATTAGAGGTGCCAAAGTCATTTAGTGAACTTTTTCTGCTCAACTGAAGTTTACAATGCATTATTCAATCTGGGAATGGAATTTATTTTGGTCTGTTGGACAGTTTGGATCCATATTGTCATTAATTGTAGCATTCACTTTTTTTTTTTGGATTTCATGAAATTGGTTTCATACTGCCTATAATAATTTCAATACAGACGTGTCTTTTTCGACACTGTTTGTCGTGTCCTTGCCTCCTGCAAGGCATTCTAGAGTTTTGGTTCATGTCTCCAATTTTACCATGAATCCGTGATGCTTGTTTAGTTCATGCCTCCAGCAAGCCAAGCCAGAATTTGGTATTGCTAAAACTTAGAAAGCCTGTTTCGAACTATAGCTAATATTCTAGCAATTTCCTTGCCCTTGGAGTGCATTCATTTTGGCACCACCAAATTTCAAGGGTGTTATTACACTGTACCAAATGTTGGTGCCAAACAAAGCAACCACCAAGTATTGGTGTTATCAATATTTGGTTTGTTTTACAATACCAAAGCAAAGCAAACACCCCCTTCAATGATTTTATATTACGAAGTTCATCAGTGCTGAATTTTTTTTTCTGTTTTTTTGCGCCAACACATAAGCAACTTCTCCATACCTGTAATACCCCATCTTTGGTGCAGATGTATGTAGATGTTTTTGCTGCAGGACAACCTGAAACTGATGATCTCCTGGATGTCTTGCAGAGACGGGTCTCAGCGTGCCTCGATAACGAAAGACGACACTCCGGTGCTGCCGCGCGCGGCAGACTTTCTAAGCCTTTTGTTTTCCTTCAATAATCGGTTTAATTAGTGTGGACTGCTGTATTCAGGGACATCCACAAATATGATAATATGTGCCTATGACCACATCTTACCTGGAAGCAATTGGTATTTTTTGCATTTCGTTTGAGTTAAAGCGTCCACTCAACATGGTTTTCTTTTGTAAAGAATCTGGTTGAATTGGGTCAACTGCTGCCTGTTTCATCCATATCAGAGCTAAACTTTATATTAGTCTGTGTTCATACATTGTAGTTTCTGTCGTACTTTGGCATACAAATATATGTTTGATATACCTCTCTGAAAACTTCAATTGCCGCGGCTACATGAGACACCATATGGAGTTTAGTAATTCACAGGAATTGCAGATTACCAAGTGTATTAGAATCACCCGTTTACTTTATTTATCGAATTCTTGGTGGACAAGTACAATTAGATAGATTATTATTAGCTGTATATTTACATGAAGATGCGCAGCATGTAGTTGGACGATGTGGAGCCTGTTACACTCATTAAGCTCAAGCTAAAAGAGCAACAAAAGCCCATAATAAAAGTCAAAGGTATAAACATATATACATGCAATGCAACATTGCCTATATAGTTAAACAATATGAGCTGCCTATATAATGTCTTTTAACTTATAAGCACTCTTCATTGGTCAAAGCTAACATACAAGCTTAATTAGCCACCACAAAAGCATCAGCTATAGCTTGTTGTACACTTGTCCATGCAACTTCAGTTTCTTTTTTTTTTTTTGGAAATTATGCAACTTGAACTACTTTCTACGTTTCACAAATGTAAGTCATTCTAGCATTTCCCACATTCATATTGATATTAATGAATCTTGATAGATATACATGTCTAAATTCATTAACATCAATATGAATGTTGGAAATGCTAGAATTAGTTACGTTTGTGAAATGGAGGAAGTAGCTATATACTACCTCCATATTTTAATATATGACGCCGTTGATTTTTTGTCCAACGTTTGACCATTCGTCTTATTCAAAAAATTTATGTAATTATCATTTATTTTATTATAACTTGATTCGTCATCAAATGTTCTTTAAGCATGACATAAATATTTTTATATTTGTACACAAAATTGAAATAAAACGAATGGTCAAACGTTGGTTGAAAAGTCAACGGCGTCATACATTAATTAAGCTAGCTGATGAGCATGCCGCCGGTGGATTTGATGGCCCCCTCTGCCGTCGTCAAGTGTCTGCGGCTAGTGTTGGTCGGCTTGGGCGATCCAGGGGCGGCGGCGGCGGAGAGCTTCCTGAGGATGTGTCTCATGGCGTCGGCCTGGAAGAGCGCCGGGTGCGTCCTCCCGAAGCCGTTGAAGCGCCTGCACACGCCCATGTGCGCCGCCAGCGCCGCCTCCCGCTCGCCGCCCTTCTTCTTCCTGGCCTCCTCCGCCACCGCCTCCGCGCACAGCCCGCACACCCACCGCCCCGAGAACCGCCGCCGCACCGCCCCGGCGTACGCCGCCGTGCACTCCTCCGACATGCCGCAGCACTCGCACTCCGCCTCCTCCACCACCTGCTGCTGCTCCTCCGCCGGGATGCTCTCGCCGCCGCCGCCGCCGCCGCCGCCGGTCGTCGTCGCCAGCAGCTCCATCTCCTTGTGGCCATGGCCGTCGCCGCCGTGCCCGAGGTGGTGGTTGCCGATGAACGTCGCCAAGAACGGCGCCACGGCGGCCACCACCGCCGACGAAGCTTCTCCATTGGGAGCCATGGACAGCTTAGCTTGCTGCTGATTTCTGTGTGTGTTGCTTAGCTTAATTACTAGCTTAGTAGCTATACACCCTACTAGCTACTACGCCATGGGAGCTAATTTATAGAGCTTTTGTGTGTAGGCAAGAAGAAGAAGAAGAAGAATCAAAGGGAGCATGGACAGTGACATGAATCAGATCAGATCTTGTGATCAAAATTGAGGAGCAGATTCGCCGGGTAAGCAGCAGCAGCACGCAGGATTTGATTGTTTGATACGAGCAGAGATTAAAGTTTGTGGACAAGGTGCTCGCTGCGTGCTTATCAGCTTAACTAATTATTACGCCGTACTTATCATCAAATTAAAGCTTTGTGTGCACTATTGTGTGGTGTGGTCTCATGATTGGTGACACGAGTAGCATGCTTGCATGAGTTTATTTTAGTGTCTCACGTATGTGATGACGTACTAATCATAGTTGTAGGTGTATCTAAGTATTTTAGATAAGGTTCGAGTAGCTTGTTGCAAACCCAGTTATATGGATGACAGTATGAGGCTGGTTTGAATCTAGCTTCTTAGAAAAAAAAAGGCCGAAATGTATTTCATTTATCTAAAAATGTAGAGGTTGAATTAAATTTCGTTAGGGATTGTTCAGTTAATAAAAGGGTTAGAGGGGATTGATATTGCATCTTAATAGGTGTGTCAATGATTTAAATCTCCGGCTAAACCCTTTAGCGGCTATGGTTTTCATCAACTATAGCCAGCTATAGCTGCAGCTAAGCTATTTAGCGGTTTTAAAAAAAATGACATGAATCACAGATAAATAGTACATCACTAGAACAAAATAAATATTGTCTCACATGATAAGTGTACTGAACACACTTGGAAGAGAAGATTGGATCTCTGGATGTAGTCACCGCTCGGAGATGAAACGAAGAACAAAGAAGAATGGGGAGGGAGGGAGGGATTGGTGCAGCCACCGCCGCCGTCGCCACCGCCTCCGGGTGCTGCGCCTGCCGCCGTCGCCGCCTCCTCCGGGTGCAGCCACCGCCGGCTCTGGGCGTAGCCGCTGCTACCGCTGCCACCTCCGGGCGCAGCCGCCACCGGTCGCTACAAAGAGATGGAGCACGCAAAAGAAGAAAAGACTGAATGTGTTATGTTAATAAATGTGTTAGAGGGGATTAATTTTTCGTATCAATAGATGTGGAACAAATTAAATCTCTTCTTTCAATTCTATTGTGAAAGGGATTAACTGAAGAAGGCTTTGCATAGAAAAAAAAAATAAACTCCCAAGTTGCTATCTAGTGGTTCATTGGTACCTACAGACGCTGTATTCTCGTGTTTAATACTGTCGAGTAATTTTAATACTACTTGGTATGCAAATTATTAAGGCTCTTTTAAATCTTTACTAAGTCCACAAATAGACGAAAATTGGTTATATATGTTAATTAAGGGACACTTTTGCAGATATATCAGTATATCACGTGTACGTGGTGATATACGTATAACTAAAATCGAGAATTCAGTCGTCTAAAGGACTAGAACCATCGATCTCATCGACCACCACTGTTTGAGTATGAAATTCAGTATGAGTATAATTATACTCATACTGAGGTGAGAAGATATGTACTAATTCGTATAAGAGCGTTAGGTGATCACAGTTACGTTAGCCATGACCTTATCATCAGCTATAGCTACCTAGCTAGCCCCTTGATCTCCCTTGATATTTTTTCTCATGACTTATCACAACTTTTTGTGTGTGGTGATTAATAACCATCGCTGATTACTATTGACTAACTACAAAAAAAAGTTGAAGCGTCAAATAAACCCTGAAGCGACAGAGTTAATGGTGATATTGGTGATTAGGATTGTATAATCACGTGGAAGTTATTCAGACCAGGTGATCGATGATGTGATCTTCATCATTAGCGTACTATTATGACGACGACGACTGCATCAATGTCATTTTCATGGTCACGGACGACCAACGATTTCATGCCAATTAACCAGTGTTTGTGCAAGGAAAAGAAGAACAGATGTTAAGCTTTGGAAGCTGATACTGGCAAGCATGCAGGCAAATCAACACGAGTTTGGAAAAGGAGAGGTAACTAAAAGCAGTGATAAGTGATCATCTGAACTTGTCATGCCAATGCTTGATCTTAATTATCAGCTTATTAGCCTTGTTTATGAGGATGTACGTTGGCCTTATCAGCTTGGTAAATGTAACCTTAATTAACAATTCGAAAAACAAATCCTCTAATTATAAATAATTTGATGCTTAGAACTTGGTTAAACTTCTGAAACTCCGACCATCAATTTTATATTAAAATAAGTTTGCAAAATCTGAAGTTTTGATATAGTAATTTTCAAGAAAAATCTACTTATACATTTTCTTTTGTTTTTAAATTAACTAAGTTTTTGAGATGGTCGGAATTTTAAGGATTGGACCAAATCTTATCCAAACCGTTATTACCGGTGGAGTAATCAATAGCTTGATGAGAATGGCTGTCGACCGAGGTGTGACCTCTGCAGAGCTGAGATAGATTCATCGGAGCCTTGATAAGTGATGACTTTGTGTTCATACTATGGGTGTGGGTCTCATCATTCGCCCTACGGCTTATAAGTCAATACCAAAATTTGAATTTTGAAGCTCAATTTTGAAGTTGATTTAGATGTGTTTTAATATAGTTTCTTTTTCAGGAAGACTTTTAATTCGCTAATAAAACATTATGGTTTATAATCAGCCCTAACCACCAATAGATGGGGACCTGTACCGTTGTCTTGAGAACAGTGTTCATCTGTACCTACCTACAGAACAGGGGGGATACCTCATTCCTCGCAAATTTCATACTGTACATCACTGAACCACAAAAACTGACGCAAAAGAAGCTGACAAATAGACCAATATACTCGAGAAATCGATATCATGGTTGCATTCTCTGAATCTTCCGGCATCCTTGCAGGCCAGATGTGGAAGGGGGATTTGCAATTATGACACTATAAATATTAACCTTTGCTATAATGACACTGGACCCATATTTCATACACACACATAGATGGGCCCAGTTATCATCACTCGGAGTGTCAAAACAGCGAAGCCCCCATATTTGGGGGAATCATGGAAGAAGGAAGGGGAGCGCACACACAGGGAGCCGTCGGCGCATCGGTTGAGGAAGACTAAGGCTCTGTTCGTTAGGTGGAGATAGGAGAGATTGTGTCTCGTTTTCCGCGCGCACGCTTTTCAAACTACTAAACGGTGCGTTTTTTGCAAAAAAATTCAATAGGAAAGTTGCTTTAAAAAATCATATTAATCCATTTTTAGAATTTAAAATATTTAATACTCAATTAATCATGAGCTAATGGCTCACCTCGTTTTGCGTATCTTCCCAATCTCCTCAATCCCCTTCTCCTCAAACACTCCCTAAGGATACGGAAGTTTGGGCCGAAACGGGATGCTGTGTCGGCCCATAACGTTAGAACTGAACTGGACTTTGTGGCGAAACATGAGGCCCATAATAGTTGGGCCGGGACTGTATAATTCGGGCCGGCCTGCTTATGCAGCAAGCGTGAGTCGCTTTCAGACTATGGGCCGTCCATCATGTGAGGCCCACCGGTCTCTGCGACACGGAGCCTCGATGCTGAGCCGCATAAAAAAGATCGGACGGTGCGCACCGCCCCAAGCTCGTTTCGCCGGGCACAAAAACAGCTCTCAGTGCGTTTGATTCTGAGGGGTGAAAATCCTAATGGTTTGTTTGACGTTAATTTGTTTGTCGACTCTTCATTAATGGAGGTGTCGTTTCAAACTTGGATGGAAATTCAGCTATGATTTGGAGTAGTTCTTGGTCTTTTATTTTGTCCAGCTTTAAGAGGGCAAGTTGTCATAATTGTCATGATATGTTCACAGTGTCATAGGTGTTTTTACCCCTTTTTTTAGTGTTCTTATATCCCTAATCAATGCAGAGGCCGGATGTATTTCATTGCTTCATGAAATGTCCCCTATTAAAAAAAAAAACTAGTTTCCCCATCGATTCATTGACTGCTAATTTTCCATCGCCCCCCTGTTCCATGAAGCTTAATTAGCTGCACATATATAGAGTGGTGAAAAGGTTTCTCAATATATCTTTAGGGCATAATTATATATATATCGATCCATCTCTCTAAGCATGCAGCAAGACATGCAGGTCTGTCTCATGAGAACTGTGCAAGGTGAAGCTATAGCAGCCAGTAGTAGCAGCTGGCCAGAAGCAAGAAGGAGAATGAAGTATATAGATTTTAATGATGGTATATCGGTATGCACATCAATACAAGGCATGAATTTTGAAAGTGAAAGCAGTGATGCATTTGTGTTGAATGACCCAATGAATTGTGGTAATTATTGGAGGGGAGGGGACAAATGGATGGATTAACTATTAAAGAGTTAAAAACATACTACTTAACATAGCTTTATACGAAGTTCTTATATAGAAAGTTTTTCTTTTATGAAAAATCATATCGTTTAGTTTAGAAGTTCGAAAAGCGTACGCGTTCATCTATTCATCTGTTAAGCACAAAAGAACATGATAAAAATAAACTATAGCATAAAAATTAACCAGTAATACTACAACATGGAAATTAACCAGATATTACTCAGTGCTTTAACTAATTAATGTGCAGTTTAATTTGCCAGTACACATGACTGAGAGGAGTTAGTAAGGTGTGCCCAGCATATGGTGGTAGTACGAGTCAGTCAGACAATGTGAGCCCTAGTTAGCCGGGGAGTCCAAAGTCAAGTCCATGAACACCCGTTCTGCTACGGCTGCGTGTCAGAGAAAAACGGGCAACAAACGGCAGCAGGCAGCAAACTTTCTCCGAATCTTTTAGGCTGTAGTACTGTGGCTACTGTTCTTGATAAAATTTGCAAGGTCAAACTGATGACTGATATCATGGCAGAAAAAGAAGAAAAAGGCAGGCAAGTGCTCTGCGAGAATGAAGAAGACCAGAAGTTAAACTGATGGTTTCTTGGAACAAAATCATTAATTAGATCAGGATCAGGTCAGCTATATCGCATAAATTTTGGCTAGATGTTGGAACAAAAAGATCAGTTCTACATTGCCATCAACCATTTATGGGGGATTAATATTAACTGTGGATCCTTATCTCCCTGCAGGACAACTGGGGATTGCTTCAGCAGCACAAGAAATCAGCACACAAGGCATGCGAAATTCAGCTTAATTAAGATTAGGAACAAGAAGATTCTTCGATCGTTTGTTCCATGCCTGGTCCTTAAATAATAAGGGACTGCTTCATCTGCTAACTAATTAATTGCTCCACATACGACTGCTCCTCAACTACTTATCTTGGATTGGATAATAGTCACTCCTTCACTCCAGCTCAATACTTAGACTGAGCTTAAAGTGAGTTTGGATATTGCTACTCATTCATTCACCTTGAGCACGTTTCTGAGACAGCTAAATAATACTCCCTCCATACACAAAAGTTACACATATTACTTTTGACACCAAAACCAAGGAGAAATTAAATTATCTTAGATGTTACAAAATCAAGGAGTGAATGCAAACATGCAACCAATAAGTGTTTAGATGACTTCTTGGGTTCTAATAAAACATTTAATTTATCTCTTCATTTAAGTCTTGAATGCATAAAGACTATAAATAGGAACAGCTTATTTAGAAAAACTCAAATGTGAAATAGGTGTAACTTTTATGGATGGAGAGAGTATGTGCTTTACAAATATTTTTTTATGTAGAAATTCCTTTAGAAACTAGCATATTGCTCCCGTGTTGCAACAGGATCTTGATCAGTGAAAATTATTACTAACCCGTTATTACCGTTATTTTTCATATACATCATATCTTAATTTGATAAATTTGTTATTGACGTGTGGGCCTTTTGGCTCCACTCTACCATTTTTCTCTTTCAGAAAAAAGAGTTGGTGATTGTCTGGTTCTCAGGCCTCACATAATCATTTCTCCATTCTAAAAGGTATGGAGTTACTCCAGTGGTGAATAGTGGCAGATTCACCACTCATCACCATTACTACTTTTTAATGGAGTATATAAATCAAATAAATCTATTCCTTAACTTTGTAATTGTCGACGTTTAATGTCGCGATTCCGGTATTTGTATAGTATGGGGATCGTTGGTACTAAGATATATGCGAGATTGAGGTAAAAAAGACGGAGGCGAGGATTTTTATACAAGTTCGGACCCCTTATCTGACAGGTAATAGCCCTACATCCTGTTGGCCGAAGCCGGTCGTTGCTCTTATTCACCATAATCACACTAGTACAATATTTGGGGTAGCCTATCTATCTGTTGTCGACATGACGGCCATGAAACCATCCCGTAGTCGACAATAGGGTAGTCTTCATCCTCGAGTTCGTGCCCGACGAGATCAGAGACAGCGCTAGATCCCTACAGCCGGCCTCCGTAGATACCGGATAGGGTCGGTCCAGGCATATCTCTGATGTCGATATCCGGTGTCTTGTCTTGGCGTATGTTGGCTTGTACGTTGATCTTGTGTCTTGATCTATTGTTCTGTCTCCCCTCTCCTCCTAGGGGGCCTTGTATTTATACCCATATGACGGAGCGTGGGGCTCCTCACCGGGAGACCGCGCTGGCCCCCCTTTGCCGGTTCGGCCGGAGACCCTGGGTGAAACTCTAAACTCCCGATCTGTATGTGGAAGGTTCGCGAGACAGGAAGCACAGAAGACACCGGCGATGTATACAGGTTCGGGCCGCTGAGAAGCGTAATACCCTACTCCTGTGTTTTTGGGAGATCTGTGTATCAAAGAGCTACAAAGTATCAGCCAGCCTCTCCCTTGTTCTGGGCTCCTAATCTGGAAAGGTCCAGTCCAAGAAAAAGCTCTCTCTAAAATCTATCCCCCTCTCTCCGTGGGCAAGGTCCTCCTTTTATATCTTAAGGGGATACCACATGCACCATCCCCCCTTTTTTATGGGGACTTACCCTACCTTTTCATAAATGGACGGAGATCTGCATGGTTGCCGTTCGAGTCACCTTCTGATGGGACGGCCCGCACCTACCTCCACTTTCGCCGGGAGCAGGCGCGACGTAGAATCATGGCTGTCTGCTGGCGACATGACCGGTGTCAGAATGGTCACAAATCGGTCATTCTTGTCCACCACGCGTCAGCTTAACAATCTGCACGTTGGCCCTCCTTCACACTACATTTTGCCTGTAATGGTTAGGATGAAGCCTGGCATATATCTGATCAGGACTAACGTGCCATCTCTGGGAGGTAACACGCTAGCTCCAGCTGGGGACGAGCGCCTAGAAGCCCTCGTCCTGACGGGATGGGGCGAGGCGTGCGTCAGACCGCCTGTCGCCACCTAATCCCGCGATCTGACCGGTCTGTGACTGGTCACAGACCGGATAAATGAGTGCAATGCACTACGTTACATGCGTCGTGACACGCTCAGCCAAACCGCAATAAATGTGGTTAGGTGAGCCCCACTGTGCTCACCTACCCCATACACGCGGAGCGAAAACCCACGAGGGGTCGGGGCGCCTCGGCCCTCGGGGCCGAGGGGGGTGCAGCCCGACCCCCTCGGGGGGACTAAGATGAGGGCGAACACACCACCTTCGGGCCCGACGTCCCCCGAGGGTGCCAGGCCACGTGGGCGATTGTGTCTGCCTCAAACCTCTAGTCATGATACTCCCGATCCCATGTCACCGACACCATAGGTGTCCCCTTGTCCAAATAGAACTAGGGAAACCAATATGAATACAATCCGAGTAGTCCTTGTCGTTTCCATATAGAACTCTGGTTGTCTTTCCTTATCCGGAACTCCCTCCATATCTGAGGTCAGTTTCCATATAAGACATGGTATGTGATGGGTCCTGCCGAGATTTAGTCAATTACTATTAGGTATGTGGTATCCATAACCCGAACAATAATAATTAATACACAATTAATTCTACATTATTGACTTGTTTTGTTTTACATGCCACTAAGAAATCTAAGCCAGAATTTACTTTCAAATTTAGCCTTAATTAGCTCTACAAGATACTACCAAACAGTGAGCTAAACCATCATCCAAGACAGTACTATACTCCACTAGTACTATAGTAAAAGAGAAACTGAATTGAAGATCAAATCAGTCAAACTACAATTAATTATAAGCAAGGTTCATGTAGTAGCTATAGATATTTATTAACACACTTTAGAGGAACTGAGCTTCTGGCATGGCAACATTAAAGCTGAAACGTACCGAAATTCTTGGTTGCAACTACAGGTTGTCCTAGTGTCCTTTGTGGTCAAGAAAGGTTGCAACCATAAAATTAAGAGGATATGACCAAGTCCGCCAATACTGTTGTACCTTCCGACACACCCAACCAACATGCTAAAGGCTGCTCCTGTACCCTCATCTCCACAAGAACCAAATCATGCATATCCCAACTCTTTTCAGCCCCCCTATACTACTATCTCTCACATCACTCTCCTTTACAATACCACTAGCTATAGTTCTACGTAAGCACGTATAGATTGATGAAGAATTATTCATCGGATTATTGAAACGGATTATATATATTTACTTATATACACGCTTTGAAAATTGTGTTTTCTCAAAATTACTTTCTTCTACTTGTGTTAAGCTATTTGTTAAGTATATTTTTAATAAAAAATATGTTATTTATTATCTCTATAATCAAGTAGATAATCTGATTAATAATCCACCCAACAATCTAAATCAACTGATTTTCTAGTGATTATTATGTAAGGAGCATTAGAATAACTGAATAAGAACAATTAAACACAGCAAAAATTAATCTCTTTTGATAGATGCTACTGGTTTTTAGGGTTTAGGACATGACAAGTAATTAGTACGCAGTAGTAGCAATGGTAGCAACATGGAGTTTGGTGTACAAAGCACAGCCGTACAACGTCGTACAAAGAAAGGCTTGTCTCTCGATCGATCGATCGTGTGCGTGGCTATGGCGATCGACCGCGATCTAGGCGATGCCGGCGGCGACCGGCCGTGGCGCGCGGCGGCCGGCGTACGGGCTGGCGCCGTAGTAGTCCGGCGTGGCGGCGACGCTGCGCTGCGCGCGCAGCTGCTCGTAGAAGCGCCTGATGAACTCGTCGGCCTTCCTGTCCACCTGCTGCTGCGCGCCGCCGCCGGCCTCGTCGCCGTTGCTCGCGGCGAACGGCGAGTCGGTGGTGCGGCCGCGATGCCGGCTCGGCGCCGCCGGGGCGGGGCTGTGGGAGTGGTGGGAGCGGGCCGGCGTCCACAGCGGCGTCGTCTCGGCGGTGGCCGGCGCCACGGCCACGGCGGCGTCGTCGTCGTTGAAGAGGTGCTCGCTGTCGTTGAGCATCTCGAACACCCTGGCGACGTAGGCCGCGTCGTAGCCGTGGTCGTAGTAACCGCTTCCGCCGGCGCCGGCGTCGTTGGAGAACCCGTAGTCGTCGCGGCGGTGGTGGCGGTTTCGGCGGCGGCGTCCGAGGAGGCCGCCGCCGCCGCCGCCACCGGTGGTGGAGGAGGGCGTGTTGCTGCAGCTGAACTCGACCTCGCGGCGTCGCCCGCGCGAGGGCTCGTACACCGCGAGCGCCGGGTCGATGCCGCGGCACGACAGCGACGACGACCCCGCCGCCGCCGCCGAGGCGGAGAAGCCGTGCCCATGGTTGTGGTGGTGGTGGTGGAACGTGACGAGGTGGCCGAGCGCCTTGCCGGCGATCTTGCCGCGGCGGAGGAGGAGGTGGAGGTCCATGGCGAGCTTGCGCCCGGACGGCGCCTGCAGCCCGCGCCGCAGCATGTACAGCACGGCGCGCACCACGCGCCACAGCCGCCGCGCCACGCCAGGCTCCGCCGCCACCACCTTGCCGCCGCCGACGAGCGCCATGGGAGAGAGGAGTGTGTGTGTGTGTCAGTGGGTTGGGTTGAAGGACTTGAAGTGGCTGGTTGGGGTTGGGGGAGGGGCAGGTATATAAAGGCCCAGAAAAGGAGAGGCCAATGGGCACTTTGGGTCCAAAAGAAACGAGGAGGAGGAGGAGGAGAAGAAGGGCAGGTAGGATAGGATGGTATGGAATGGATTCATGGAATTGATGGAGACCTCTAGCTCCATTATTGGTTGGAAGTAGTGGAGGTGGAGCTTAGTTACCATGTTAGATACAATTTTATTTTTTTTAAAACAACCGGTATATATAAAAGACAGTACGACTATAACCTGATAGTCGTACGACGTTTTGTATTGATATAGCATAACAAAAATTATAAGACCATAGCCCTAGGAGATCATGGTCAAGAATAAGAAAAAACAACCATACCACACGCATATGACAGAAACCATGTTGCTGAGAAACAAATAGGAACACGGCGCTCGACGCACCCAACTCTATCCACGACTTTGTGTTGGAGAAGGACAAGGAGAGGGAGAGGGTGAGGAGAAGATTGAACCGCTCAACCACGCACCACCCTATGCCACTGCTGCCCATCCACCTCCCGGGTCAGGGACGAAATCTCCTGGCTCTCGTGCCGTGATAACTTGTCAACCGGTCTCACCATATGGCCACACTGTGCTAGGAAGGCCCAACCAAACGGAGCCATTGCCACCTCCCCGCTAAAACTCTCGCTTGCCATCGTTAGGCCGCCAGCCTCGTTGCCAATAAATCCGACACCTCTGACCCGCATCGCCACTTCCGGTAGCACCACCTCCATCCCTCCACCTCGTGGAACACCGGCCATATGGCGTCACGACGGATCTGGCCGTCTTCATATCACTAGCTAGGTCCGCGCCGTCGAGGCCTCCACTAGCACATAGCCGCCTTCCCCACCACCCTAGCTTCCTCATCGTGGTAGCTTTGTCTGCCAATCACAAGCCTTGTGCCACCTTCTTGCACGCGTTATCGGGTGCCACCATCGAGGGTTCCCCCCCCACACCGTGGCCTTCCTAGCTCATCGTGTGGCTTATCAGCGGCATCGTGGCCAGTGGTGAGGGGGGGGGGGAGGGATGGGCACCGGGTAGGGTTTCGCCACCGAGTGGCCAGTGATGGATCAATACAAAATTTTTCAAATTACGCTAGAATGGCTCTAGGCTTGAGTAAACTGTATCCCCGCTACTAGGCCTAGGTCTATCTTTAACACCAAGCGTGCGTGCCATATGCACCTAGCAGATCTAACACTGACATTCAAACAATTAAAGTGAATTTACACCCACTAGTTAAATTGTGTGTGACTGGTTTGTTCAATTTTATAATAATGTGACTAAATTACGTTCATCTTACGAGTTGTGGCACCACCATCCATATATTTCACTCAACATTATTTCTGCACCATGATAGAGAGAGAAACACAATAGGATGTTTACGATTGTGACCCTGATTGATATGAACAGTAACGTGGACCTAGTTAATTAGCAGCTAGATGCTAGCACGGATCTAAAAACCATCTGACGTCTAAAAAAACGAATGATGGAAGGCTCATAAATCTGACAAACGATAGTTAGCAATTCCGTATTATATATGGTTAGTTAGTCAGAAAGAAAGGTGCAGTTTTTCTGCGTATCCTCAATCAAGATCATTCTAGCTAGTCGTCATAAGAACCACAAGATCTGTATGTCTCTCCTCATGTTTGATTGCTACCAAAGCCGCTTTAAGTAATGTCACATAGTTTTAAATGAGCTAAGGGAACTCTTCTATATAAAAAAAAAACAGCAGGTGTCCCTATAACTCGTTAACTGTTAAATATTTGGCCCTATGAATAATCAAATTTATCCAAAAATCCACCATGGCTCTAGAAATTTAGACATATATACGCTTTGTCATTTGGTAACATATATAAAGGTTGTTTTTTTTAAGAACACGCAGGAATAGGTGTACGGTGTTAGAGAAAGACTCCGACACCCGCCCACCAAGGATACAACAGAATACTACACACCCAAAGAAAAAAAAAACACAAACTAATTAATACATTAGCAGCACAGTCCTAGTAAAGAGATCACTGAGCCTAGCAGCTCCTGCTAGGTACCAAAGAGCGCCCTCATTAGTGATGGTTCGGAGGACATTGACCAAGCATGGGGTAGCGCCATTAAACACACAATTGTTCATGTGCTTCTAAATTTCTCTAGCGATCAAGATGATTAAAGAGTTTAGCCCTTTCTTCTTATTAGTAGGTAAACTCCTTACCGTTCTTGACCACCAATTGACAAGAGCATGCTGGATTTATATATGTGATTTCTTTCGTTGAACCTTTGGATGTCTCGAGATCCAAGTTTTTAGATGGTTCGGCTCTAAACTCAGTTTTAAAAAAGGACGCCACTACACAGCTTATCACTTGAATGTGTTGGTAAAACCAAGATTATGATTGCTCGAACAAAGCAACAAAGTGTTTCACCTGTTAATTGATTGGGTGCCTTCTTCTCTGCGTTCACTTTGGGAAAGTAGTACGTGGCAAAAGCCTAGCTAGATCACACAAAAAGTTTAATCCGTCTTACAGAAACCCATTGATTGGCTGTAAGTTATCCATTTGGTTTGGATGTGATTAGCTAGCTGGGACGACACTTGTTGCCAAATCAAGAGGCACACTTGGCATTGGTCCATCTGTCCATGGCACCATGTGGCATGCCAAGTGCACATTCTTGCCTTCTGGCTTTTTTATATATATGTTATAAATTAATTATTCTATATACTTATTAAGGGGGAAATTTGGGAATTAATTTTATTGAATATATTTTCATATGTAAATATTTATATTATTTTCTCACCAAGAAAGAGAAACTGACAAAAAAGTTTATGATTGCGACTTGAGTGATATATATGGTTTGTCAAAGAGAAAGGGAGGTGCAAGTTTTTTTGTGTACCCTTCAACCATATGTTGTTCTAGTCATGAAAGCCATAAGATCTCTCTTTCTTTCCTCATGCTTGATTGCTACGAAAGCCTCTTTAAGCATTGTCATAGTTTTAACTGTCTAAGTTACTCAATACAAAAATCAGGCCATAAAGGATGGACTCTTTCTATTTTGGTTGAGTTCGTTTCTTGAGGTTCCTAACCTCCACTCCCACATTTCCCGCGCACATGCTTCTCAAACTGCTGAATGATATTTTTTTTAAAAAAAGAAAACTATAGAACATTTACATTAAAAATATATTAATCCATGTTTAAAGTTTTTTAAGTTAATATTTAATTAATCATATGTTAATCTGTCGCTTTGTTTATTGTACGTGGGGATTAATTCCCAACACACACTAAAGAGCACATTGAACTATTGGAATGTATATGCATGCCCATAACTACTAAGCACGGTTTGCTATAAAAGTTCCGTTTGCACAAAGCTTCTTATCAGTTATTGAAATATAAAGTTTATCAGGACACTACTACACTTCTTATTAACTAATTATTGAAACATACTACAAGTTTCTTAGGGCTTAAGGATGACAAATTGCACAAGTGTGAAAAATATGATGGACCTAGAGAAGACACGTACACGCTTGTGGCAAGCAGTCAAAAGCTCAAAAGGATGTGAGAAAGTCATGGACCATTGATTTAAATCGTGTGTTAGAACACTACACGCATGTATTTTTTTTATAAAAAATATGGTGTAGGAAAAGACAGTGTCACTTCTTTGGATAGGGACCTTCTTAATAAAGAGATGATATAAAGCTATGTCGTTTTATTCATGCCTGCAAATTGCATTATTGACACTTTTTCAGCCCACAAGAAGAAAACATAATCACAATCAGTCGGTTCTCAAGATGGGGAACATAGATTTCTTCACACATGTAATTTTTTTTAGGAAGGTAAAAAAAAGAGTTTGATATGTGATGTCTCATAGATCAATTGAACATTTCTGTAAATTCTTGTGCAATGAGATGTTTTTATAATGCTTTCTACTGATAATATAATCAATCTAAACTTGGACCATATCTATTCATGCTATCACATCAACTATTGACGGCAGAATACTTTTTTTTTTACTGATAGTGGAACTCAGAAATCATAAATCAACGGTTGAAATTACTTCTATCTATCTATCTATCTATCTATCTATCTATCTATCTATCTATTATATACTAAAAGTCCATTAAAATTCCTAGAAACGCTATCAAACCGCCACATAGCACCCCTACAAACGCTCTCAGGTCGCCACATTGCGCTATAGAAAATCAAAACATCTAGCCATCGGTTTTCATTAAATCTGGTGGGCCCATTATTTTTCACCATTAGATCCATATTGAAAATTTACCATTTATTTTTTCCACAATATAGAATGTACATCGCTGCACGGATGTACGTCCGTACATAGAAGCCCCTCCCAAAAATAGGTACGTACTTTTTTTTCTTTTTTTCTTTCCCAAACTAATAATCCAATTCCATATTATCTATGTTTTTATGCTTTGAGCCATAAAAATATATCTGATTAGTATTATTAAAAGTTACTCGCTCCGTACGGTAGAAAAAAAGCATGTGACATTACTAAATTATGGTTTTATTTATTTATATATTATTTGAAAATTAACGATCAAATATATTATTTTGACACCAATGTCCTATATCTCCTACTTCGACTACATTTGATCTAGCTCATTGGCTAAGCTAAAAGTCTATTAAACTTCCTATAAATACTTTCAAACCGCCATATGGTACTCCTACAAACGCTACTGAGCTGCCACCCATCGGTTTTCATTAAATCTGGTGGGCCTATTATTTTCCACCATTAGATCCATATTGAAAATTTACCATTTATTTTTTCCACAATATAGAATGTACATCGCTGCACGTATGTACGTCCGTACATAGCAGCCCCTCCCAAAAATAGGTACGTACTTTTTTTTCTTTTATTCTTTCCCAAACTAATAATCCAATTCCATATTATCTATGCTTTTATGCTTTGAGCCATAAAAATATATCTGATTAGTATTATTAAAAGTTACTCGCTCCGTACGGTAGAAAAAAGCATGTGACATTACTAAATTATGGTTTTATTTATTTATATATTATTTGAAAATTAACGATCAAATATATTATTTTGACACCAATGTCCTATATCTCCTACTTCAACTACATTTGATCTAGCTC